GGGAGGCGCTCACCGCTGGCAGTGTGGTGGTGGCCGGGCCTCTGGGTAAGCGGCAGCGCTGCGTGCAGACTCAAGCCCTGCCCCTCCCTCCCCACCCGCGTATAGTTGAATTTGCGCAAGTTAAATGCGCATATGATGCGACATGCCTGCGTTGTTGCTGGGCACTAGGAACATTTCAGTTAAAAAGATGTACACACATTGGCTAAGTACAGACATTTTGGGGCATTAGGGGGAGGTTAAATCAATTAAAAATGGCTGCTTGATATCAGGTAAGTCAGAATGGAGTGGAGCTAGCTGGGGGTAGGGGTTGGGGGTCCAGTAGGCTGGAAAGGATTGGAGGCTTGTTTGGGATGTGGGGGGGCAGGCGCAACCCGCAGGTGGGGTAGGAGGAGCAGGCGTGACCTGTGGGTGGGATGGGGGAAGCAGGTGTGACTCATGAGGGGTAGGGTTAGCAGGCATGACTAGCGGTGGGGGCAGGCAAGACCTGTGAGGGGTTGGGCAGCCAGGCCCGGGGGGGGGGGGGGCAGGCACAATCTGCAGGTGAGGTGGCAGGGTGGGGGGGCCAGGCACCACCCATTAGGGACAGGGGAAGTAGGTTCAACCCACAGGTGGGGTTGGGGGGGCAGGCATGACCCACAAGCGGTAGGACGGGCAGGCGTTATCCTGAGTGGGGTGGGTAGGGCAGGCACAACCTGTGGGTGGTGGGGTAGGCACAGCCTGAGAGGGATGGGGGTGGGGAGGTGTGACCCACAGCTGGGGTGGAGTGGGGTGCCCTCTCAGGGAACCTACAACCCTATCCCTCCTGCCCCTCCCTGCCACCAGGACTTACTTGCTCAGCTCTGGCAGCAGCAAATGCTGATAAAAGTGGCTGCACCTAAAGCAGCTTGTGGGATGGGGGTTGAGAGCCCTGGCTGCAGGGGGGAGAGCAAGGGGCTGGGGAGGGAAAAAACAGATCAATGCAGGAGCAGGGGGGAATGAAAAGAAGAGCCCCCAGGCTTGGGCCAGTGGCTGCACAGGGGGAGGGGGCAGAAGTTCAATGCACCAGTTTGACCTAGATCGACAGTGGAAAGATATGCATGAGTTTGCAGTTAGATGCATTTGCTACAGAAAAGTACGGAAAGAGGAGATCTAATTGCTTTTTAAACAGCCTGATGCCAGCCTTGCAATTTGGTTAATAATTTTACCTTGAAATGGGAAGAGGTATAAAAATCAGTAGGAAGAAAGGACAGCAGGGATCAATAGGACTTTGAAATGAAAATCATCTGTTTAGCGGTTTAGAAGACTCTTAAATACTTTCCTATGTATCTTGGCATAAATACTAATATTTCTTTCGTTTGCAGGCAAAAAATGCATTTTACTGGTCAAGAAAAAGGTCTCATTCTTTTGTAGTGAATGTTCTTGCTCAGGCCCTTTATGAACTGTTTGCTGCTACAGATGGTAAGTTTAAGACAGTTAAATAAAAGACAGCTTTTGTGATTGTTATAACTTAGTAAATGGTGTGTGTACATGTGTAGGTATTTAGGCACTAGGATTTTGAAGGCTTTTTAAGACACAAAAACCTTTCTAATTTCAGATATATTTTTGAGCACTTTAAAGTAGCTGACACTGAGCAGAGGAAATTTAGGGTGGGATTTTCAAAAGCATCCAGAACTGACTGAACCTTATTACTGAATCCAGTGGACATTTTACCACTGACTGCAACTGGAACACTTAAACTGCTGCTGAGTGCATATTTTCATGTTAACAATTTAAAGGTGTGATTTTTTTAAAGTGCTAAATGCATGCTAAAATACTCACATTAGTTAAATATAGGGTTACGAATTTAAACAAAACCCAGGAGTTAAACATGTCTAGGTTTTCTAAGGTATCACTGACACAGCTTGTGATGGTTAACATCTAATCGTCTAAGTAGAAATATATAATTTACAAAAGATTTTAGGAATACTCGTCAGTGTTGGACTACTGTACCTCCATAATTGTTAAGGTGCTAATGTCTCCTGTAAACCAGTCAACATAAGTGGCTCAGTGATCGTTGGTGTAAAGCATCCTCATTGCAAAATAAACTTCATTTGCTGTATTGTTGCAGGCTTATAAAGATTTTGTAAAATTATTGTTTTAACTAAGTAACAGAAATAAATAATGGAATGGCTACTGTTATCTTTACTGTAATTTGGATCACCCCCTGGTTTACTGGTAAGTATTTTCAGTTCTTATTGAAGGTAATTTTAATTCATTTTGTAGATTCTCTACATCAACTCAGGAAAGCCTGTTTCCATTACTTCAGACTTGGTGGAGAGTGTGTCTCTGGTCCAGTTGGATTGCTGTCTGTGTAAGTTGCATAAGATTTCAAAGTAACTATTGTGCTGTACTAGGAGATAATATATGCAGTATTTCTGAATAGCTGTGATCGTACACTGTGGTCTACTAATGTTGACCTTGGTTCCCACTCCTTGGGACTCTGCATTGATAGGGGTTACAAATATCATTACAGAATTAGATCTTACTTTTGTTCTGTGCCTTTTATAGAAGCCATGTCCAAAGTTGTTGAGCAGTTACAAATTTTCAGTAAAAAAAGTGAAAAGAAAAGTTTTGATGCCTTGACAAGGGCAGAAAAATTGAAGGGTAGCTAAAGATTTGGTGGTAGAAGAGCTGGTCTGTCCACTAGGGGTTAAGATGGTATAAAGGTGTCAAAAGCAACCAGCCTTAGATGTGTGGATAAAAATGGAGGAGTGAGTTCCTGGATGGTTTTTAAAAACAGCATCCTGAAATAGATGAACAGGCATAGGGTAGTGCTTTTTGAACGTGTCAGAAGGTGAGCAACTGCATCCTCATACATTGGAGTCATGAAATCTGGGACCTGCAGAGGATATTGAAAAGGGAGTTGCAATTATCTATGTGGGAAGTGATGAAGGCAGAGATGAAGAGTGCATCAGAAATGGAGCTGAAGCAATGGTGCACTTGAGCAGTGTTTTAGAAGGAATTATTTAACACACAGCAGTTCGAAGCTAGACCAGTTTTTTCCAGTTGAGACAGCAAAGTGCCACTGCCTAGATCAGGCAGTAGTGTGCACAAGGAAATCAGTTCTGCTTGTAAGACTGAAAATTCTGTGTACTTTTCTTTATTAATGTCTTCCATTTTCTTTTCCTGTGTAGGTTATCTCCTAAACCAATGGTGTTGATTGGCCACTTCTTTGCTGTTGCTCTGTATGCTGTTTATTTTTGCTTTAAGTCAGAATCCTGGATCACCAAGCCACGGGCATTTTTCAGTGGTGGAGCTGTACTTTACCGGGCTTGCTGTGTACTTTTTCCACTTGTTTACTCGGAAATGAAGTACTTAGCCTACTAAATTTTAAATGACTGGAGAAAGAATACATTTTTAGGGGAAAATGAATGGAGAAACTCACCAAGCCTTTTAAAATCTTTTGGACATGTACTGTTCAGTACTGTTTTATATTCTCTTCTTTAAAACACAGCCCTTTTGTTCAGGATTTGACTTAATTTTATTCCTGTGGGTGAATGTACATATAAATATGTAAATATGTTTTCCTTTACAGTTTAAGTTAAAAAAATCAGTTAGCCATGAGTAACTATCAACCTATGGTAGATACGTGCGAGTTCTGGCAGAGAGCAGTTGCCTCACTTTATTCATTGCATGGAATGAGCCATTAATGTTGATAATATTAATAAATTGAAGAGTGAACAACTTAAACCATTTGCTGCTATTCTACTTCATGCTTTTTCTGTTCAATACTTCCATAGAACATTTTCTTTCTTACTGAGAGATATGTAGGAAATTAAATTTTTCCTCAGCAGCATACTACATGTCACATGCATTTTCCTGTCAATCTGTATTCTTTTCAACATCATCTTTAATAATGCTTTCTTTTGTTACTCTTGCGTACTTTTATTTTATCCCCAGGATTCTTTTGATTGCTTTACATATCCTTGGATGACTCTTTCATTTTGATTTGCCCAAAATGACCATATATCAGTGTAGCCAAGAGATTGGACAGCAATGACAGATTTCACTTTTTTCTTTAGCATTTACAAATAAAGGGACTAGATCTTCAAACAATGAGATTATGTAACTGTATATAAACATAATCTTTGTTTCTTGGACTGTGAAGAATAGTAATGGAGAGACTTTTAATACATTACTTGATAAATATTTCCAATGACCAGTTTTTCCTGTGAAAACAAAAATATGTATATTTTTTTAACCAATGTCTCTTTTGATACCCTTTTTAAATTAAACATTGACACATTAATGATGTAGGGGCAAAACAACAATATTTAAAAATACTGTTATGTGTGAAAATTAAATAATGCCACTTTAGGGGTATTCAAAGTTTGCAGAATTTATATTTGAGCCTTTTCAGAATTTATGCCAATTTTGGAAAAATTATTGATGTTTTATGTATTCCAAGTTTAATTTTTCTTTAAATATTCTTTGCAATCAGTCCCCTGCAAGCCATGGGTTAGTGATCCCAAACCAAATATGCACCCTCAGCTAAATTAAATAAAGAATGATGGTACTTTATTGTTCATTTGTAGAGTTTTGTCTCACGCATCTGTTGGGTAGGCCCTGGTTTAGCTGTTAAGATCTTCAACAGCAGTTTTTTTTCTTGAACAGCATTCAACGGGTTCAGCAAAAGGAAGGCAGGAAAAAAGAAGCTATCAAATTGGCACTTAACTGCTTCAGCCCCAACAGCTCTGGCACCATCCCCACCTTGGTGCAATATCAATGTCTACCAGGGCAGTATCTTCAATAGAGGTGCTGCTAGAGTCACATCATGAAAGTGAGATCAAAAGACAGAGCGGAACAAGGTCCTGCATGACTCTAGGCATCAGAAGAAATTGCCCAAGGACAGGAGGCTGGTTACACCACAGGGTTTAGGTTTGCCACACAAAGAGCCTGGAAGACTGGGAATCAAGGGAAATGCTGAATATGCCTGGAAAATGTTTAAAAGCTAATTTAAGCTGGATATGTAAGCCACAAGGGCAGATAAATAGCTGCTTGTCTCTTCATTGTTGCAGCCAGTGAAGTGCTGTGTATAAAGCTTTTCATGCTACAGGGCAAATGGAGAGGAAAGCCTTGCAGAAGTAATATATTCTTGGTCCTCAAACATTATGGTCCTCAAACATTTTTCCTAAAACAAATATCACTTATGAGAAGTGGAAACAGAAGTTTGTCACAGATCTGCAGCTAAAAGTCAGTCCTACAAATACGGAACACGGTAAGAGTTTTATAAAAGGCCAGATTGTCCTGGAATGAAACGGTAAGAAAGACTTTGAAGAGAAATGGATGCGAGAGAAAGGGCACCATGTATATACCAAGTTGCAGAACAAGCAGAAACTTAAAAAGCCTAGAAGAAGGTGGACAAAAGAGGATTTTAAATGTAATTACCAAGCCAGTGAGGGACAAACTGCCAAGCAGTAAATTGGGCAAGGACAGAGGAAGGGGAAGCAGGAAACAATATGGCAACTAGCATGAGTGTGGAAATTACTCTGGGTTTGGGCAACTACCACATTAAAATTAGCCCTGCTTTAAAACTGGGGTGCATGTTTTAAACAACGAAGCTGTTTCTTTTTCTGCACAGAAGAGAAGCATGGAGAGACTGTAAAATGGTTGCTGCTACTCTTCCCCTGCTCCTGCCCGTTTAACTGGCTGCATGGAAGGAGAGGCAGGGTGCAGGCTTCAGCAGCAGTTACAGTTTTCACCCTTTCACAGCTCCTGCAGAATTGGCAGTGGCCATCAGAGGGTTAGCTTTTGCCTGAGCAGGAAAGGGAGGGTGAGCAACCTGAAGAGTAGGCTTTGTCCCTGCTCCATGCAACCATGACTCTGAAAATATTTTTTTCTTCATTTTGCCTTCCCAAAGCACGCTGAATGTTGTATTTGTGGGTGTGGGGTATGTGAGGCAATACTGTGTGTATGAATTGTGCTCAAATATCCAGAGAAAACAGGAAAGTACGTGAAGCAAGTGTCGGAAGTGAGCTCTTCAAGTGAACACGGGAACCTTCGGAAGTGCAGTTTAGGAGGATGCCAAAACCATGAGAAAGATTGGCTAAATCAAAAGGGGTTCCCATCCTAGCAAATACCTTTACAACATTGGGTTTTATTTTGTTCAATGCATTTTATACAAGGCACGTTCAAAATTGTTGAGCACTTACAAATTTCCAGTAAAAAAAGTGGAAAGAAAGGAAAGTTAAGATGCATTGGCAAAGGCAGAGAAATGAAGGGTAGCTGCAGATTTGGTGGTAGAAAAAGCAATCTGTCCACCAGGAGTTGAGATGGTATAAAGGTGTCAAAAGCAACCAGCCTTAGATGTGTAGATGAAAGCAGGAGTTGGTTCCTATGTGACCTAGAAGACAGGCATTAGGGCACAAACAGTCATAAATATCAAGTGAAACAGAGAGGTATAAAGAGCACATAAAGGAGTCAGAAGTGTCTTTGAAAGACTATGTTAAAAGGACATTCCCGCTATTAGGGCACTGCGTGTTGACACTTAAAACAGAGAGAAAAGAAAACAAAGTTTGTAGTTGTACACAGAAACAGACAACCAGTCCTGGCCCTGTGCACATGTGCGATACTTGGTCTTCTGAAGGGGAGGCCTATCACAGAGAGGGTTACAGAGAACACTGAAAAGGTTCTGAAAGCATGAATAGCATTGCATGAAGATTCACAGGAAAGGGGTGTCTCTCAGTAACAAAAGGGTATGTTGAAGAGAAGATGCCGATACACAGAAAGTCCCAAATATGTAAAAGAAGACCTATAAAACATGATATCAAGTGGTACCATTTGGAGAACAAAAAAACCAATAAATGGGGTTCACTCTTTAGGAAATATGGACAAAAAGGATGGGAAGTTATATATAGGTTCAAGGGAGTTGAATAAAAGCATAAAAAGTATGCCTATTTCAGTTGCCTGCAAGAAGCGATCTATTCTTGATGACAGCACAAGCCAAAATCTTCAGCCAATTAAATGTATTGGCAGCATTTTGGCATAGCACTTTGGAAAATGTGAGCTCCAACATCTCTGCTTTCAACGCACCATTTGAGAGAGACTGCTTTCCAAGACTGCCTTCTGGACTATGCTTGGCTTCGGAAATACTTCACCATATGGTGATCCTGATACTAAAGGCCTAGCAGGTGTTAAAGCATACATCAACAACTTAAATCATTGGGGAACAATAGCCCAACTGAACCTCAGGAATAACAGAAGAATACTAGAAATTGCAAGGCATAACAAAGTTACACTGAGTATAGACAAATATCATTTTCAAAAAAATGGGAGGCTTTATTTGGGAGACTGACTGCAAAAGGAATCTTGCCTAATGTAGCAAAGATTCTGACAATACTCAACATGCCAAGGCCTGAAGATAAAAAGGGAATTTTAAGATTGCCAGGCATATTGGATTATGCCCATTTATCTAATGGCATAGCTTGCATAACACACTCAAGTCATCTTCTCCATAAGGACTTAGAATGGACTTGGATGCCAAAACAGGAAAGCAAGTTTTGTGACTTAAACCACATCTTGTCATCAACTCCAGTGCTCCAATTCTTTGAATCATTTGACTTGGCATCAAACTTCATGGATGCTTCAAAAGAAGGGTTGGGAGAGATACTATTACAGTGTCACAAGACAGATAGATTTCCAGTATCAAATGAATGCATGAAGAGCTATGATGCCTTCAGGGAAGATGTATGCAAAAATTGAAAAAAGAGACATTAGAGTCTAAACCAGATTTCACCTTTACATATCTAAGTGGCACTTAAACAGCTGCAGAGCTGTAATCTTTTTGTACTTAGGCACTATTTGGATTCTGTTTCCGCAGGGCAAGGCAGGGTTGTCCAGGCATGTGTACCTGCCAGAAGTAAATGGAGGAGGAGGGCACCTTCCACGGCAGCAGAAAGCCCATTTTTTAGCTCCACCTCACCAAAGGGGTTAAACCTGCATCTCTATCTTCCTCGTGCTCAGGAAGGGAGAACCCTGCTCCTACTAACTTTTCTACAACTTTCATTTAATTTTTTATTGGATAAAATACACAAAGAGCAGTGCAGTAGTTTCTGCCCCATTGGGAGCAGGCATCACAGCCGTCCCAATAGCATTCATGTTGAGCCATGCTCCCTCTGGCTTGCCTGCTACTTCCTGTCCTGCCCCCATGTCTTCCTCTTGTGGGTCAGCATCAAAAGGAGAGCTAGAGAGCGGTGCCTAGCCCATGACTGTGGTTAGAGCAGTTTGCGGAGAAATGGGAAATCCAGGGTTAAATTTCCTTTGGGTGAAGGGAACTCATCCTCTCTCTGGGTGAGTGCCCTAACCACTTGGCTAAGGCCAGAAGATAAGGGAGTCCTTTTCTGGTGTTAAGCTCTTGCTAGGTGTGGATTTTTTGCAAATCAAGTTTTGGGATTTACCCAGTGTTTTCCATGTATCCCGACGGTCCTATTCTGTCCTGGAGCCTAAGCAGCCAGAATGCAACCTTCTGAGCTGGAAGTGGAGATAGAATTCAAACTGAACATAAGCGCCAAGAACTGAAGTTATGTGGCTGTTGTAAATGCCACTTGGGCATGCAAAGTTGAAATAAATTGCAGCCCTACATCTGGCCAATGGATGTGGAAAATCCACGACTTACTATATGGACATAGATTAACAGCAAGAACAGATCACAAATCACCAACTGAACTGCACAAAAATGGACTTGGAGAAAT